CTACGCTTTGGAGTATTAAGTGTAGATTCAGTTGAAACAATTCATCCAGGAAATGACTCTCTAAGGCATTGCTCATAAGATTCCTGAGGCGGGAAAAAGAGTAAGAAAACAAGAGAGATCTAAGGCAAAGCTGCTAAGATTTCTGAGGTAATAAAAAAGGAGGGAAAATGAAAAAGAGATTTCTGAGGTACTTCTGATATTTTATGTGGTGTAAAATGGTAAAAGCAAAAATGGGGGCAGGGAATTCACTAGGATTTTTTAATAAAAGCTAGAAGATGAGAAAAGAATTTTTGAGAAACAGTGGCTAATATTCCTAATAGGAGGAATTGATATGTTTGTGTTTTTTTCCTTATTGCTATATCACAAGTGTCTGGAATATGTGCTGAGGTCCTGGAGGGAGAGGATGGTTAGTATTCTCACAGCCATCTTTTAATGCAGTGAAAATTGAAATATCGATCAATCAATCTGAAGTCGAAGGCTTTCACGGCCAGCATCCATAGTTTTCTGTGGGGTTTTCAGGCTTTGTGGCCATGTTCTGGAAGAATTTATTTCTGACGTTTTGCCTGCAACTGTGGCTGGCATCTTTAGAGAGATGCCCTCTGAAGATGCCAGCCACAAATGCAGGCAAAACATCAGGAATAAATTCTGCCAGAGCACGACCACACAGTCCAAAAAACCCACAGAAAATGATCAATCAATCACTTGCTTTATACCCTGCTTTCCCCACAAGACTGGGACTCAAAGACAGTTCACAGATAAAAAGAAATATGCAAAGAAATATACAAAGGAAACTATATAATTTAAAAATTAAGAATAAAGTAACACAGCACACTAAAACAGAAAGCAAAGTTCCCAAATGTCTGCTGGAATGGGAAGAGCTTCACCTACTGAAAAAAGAAAGAAAACGACAGCAAGGAGGGTGCCAGGCTAACCTTTCTAGGAAGGGAGTTCCAGAGTCTAGGCCAGGGACTGGCAACCTACGGCCCGTGGGCCGGTTAAGGCCAGGTCCCCGTACTTACTGGCCCAGGCAGAAGGTCGCCACCGCCGCCGCTGCGCGTTTTGGCCGCCGTGTGGCCGCACACACTGCAGCTGCCATTTTGATTTTCAAAATGGCAGCCGCAACACATTTGCGCATGTGCAGGAGTACTGCGCATGTGCAAATGAGTCATGGCCGCCATTTTGGAAATCAAAATGGCAGCCGCACCGCCAATCCTCCCACCTCGGCCCAGCAGTGGAGAGGACTTCGCAGGACCAGCCCCCGGCTCAAAAAGGTTGCCTACCCCTGGTCTAGGGGCTGGGGTTTCTGTCATCTTCTTCCACAAAACCGGAACAAAAAATACTCAAGACAGGATTGGGGTGGTTTATCAATACCCCACGTTAGCTAATGTGGGTGGTCAGGGCTAGAGAGTAGTAGAGTGTTTCAGGACCCTCACAAACGTAGGTGGGGGCAATATGAAAAGGCCACACCACATTTTGATACTGGACATTGCATACGGTCAGCCCCCTGCCCCCAATATTCATGGGTTCAGCCCCCAGCCATGGCTTCAAAATATCCTCCCATAATAACAAACTCCAAAAAGCTAATTTTTATCTTTTGATTTTGCCTTTTTATCTAAGGGACTCCAATTGACTCTGCAAGTCTGTATCATGGGATTTGAGCATCCGTGGATTTGTGGTCCTGCAACCCAACTCCAACAGATACACCAAGGTCATGCTGTATTTCAAGTTGTGGTTTATTTAGATATATATTGCCATATTTCTGGCATTTGTAGTTTGTTGCTTCAATGGGGCCCAGCTGGTGGGGACATTTTTCAAACTCTTCAATCTAGGATTTCCCAGGTTTTCTGGGACAAATGGCACGCCTACTAGGGGCAAACACACAAAAAAAGTCCTCTCCCATGTTCCTATCACACATACCTGTGAGGACAGTGGATGGGATCTACTGAAGCACCTCCTGAAAAGAGCCTGCCTTATAGCTCAGGCAAGCTCATACAGATGTCTGGCTCTTGCTAAGAATTAATTTTTTGATTCTGCTACAGGATAACTATTCACAGATACATACCCTTGGCCCTTGTAGTTACTTGTTGTTGTTGTCATTGTTCTACAGACTTTATGTGTTTCATTGTAAAAACTCAATAAAAAATTAATGAGAAAAAAAAGATACAGCCGTGTTACTCTGTAGAAACAATATGTAGAGAGATCTTGTAGCACCTTTGAGACTAAAGAAGGAAGTTGGTAGCATGAGCTTTCGTCGACTTGTCTACTTTCTCAGGTGCATACTCTACTGCCCTGTTAGTCAGGAAAATCAGCGTGCAAAGGAATCTTGAAGTACCTTTGAGAGAAGAAGCTGGTAAGAGAGAGAGGCTGGTGGTATTAACTTTCCTAGACTTCAGTCAGCATCTGCATCTGAAGAAATAGACTCAAATCTACAAAAAGTCATGCTGCCAACTTCTTTCTTCCAGTTAGTTTCAAAGGTGCGACAAGATCTTTTTAAATACTGTATCTTACAAGTTAGACCCAGGCACCACGTACTCTCAGCCTCAGAGGAAGGCAATAGCAAATCCCTTCTGAACAAATTCAGTCAAGAAATACCCATGATAAGTTCATCTTAGGGTCCTCATAAGGCGGGCATGACTTGAAGGCACATGACAACAACGCTAATAAAATGTGTTAGTCTCTAACAGTAGTGTACCTACCTTTGGTGTCACCTGCTGAGGGGGGCAAGGCCCCAAAGTAAAAGGGGCGGGGCCCAACATGGAAAGAGTGGGGCTTCTAGGAGAGACCGGGCTCAGCCTTGATGAGCACGCACCCTGATCCGCCGTCCTGCAGCTTGGCTTTCCTCTGAGGGGGGTGACACCCAGCATGGTCCGCATCCCCCGAACCCCCCAGTGATGCTACTGATCTCTAAGGTTCATTAGACCCCTTGTTAGTTTTGCTGCAACAGACTAACACAGATTCATACCTGGATTTTTTTGTGGATACTTTGAAAAATCCTACTAGAAGAGCCAAAGTGTGTGCAAACTGGTTTTTACATGGAGCAGCACACTTGCACACCCTCCAACTGTCTCAGTTTATCAGGACAGTCCTGATCAATCCTCTGTTGTCTCATTTGTTTCAGGTGCTTTTAAAATGTCCCAGTTTCTCTTTCCACCTCCCACTTCCCCTCCCCTTTGTCCTCTGCTTACTTCATTTGCTACAAACTGAGTTCAAAGTGCAAAAGTAGTTAATAATAATAATAAATAAATAAATAAATAAATAAATAAATAAATTTTATTTATAGCCTGCCTCTCTGCATAGCAATCGAGGCGGGTTACAACAATTAAAACAAGACAATTAAAATTAACATTCCCTCCATCCATAATCTACCCACCCACCCCTTAAAACAGAATTAAACCAAGAATGAATTAAAACAAAGTAATACAATTAAAACAATATACTAAAAACAACAGTGCAAGTGTGCCAGCCAGGTAGAATAAAAACTCATCTCCTTACTGAGGAGAAGGAATCTTGCCCTTCCCAGTAGGCTCAGGCAAAATCAAACTGCTACAGCCTCTCTTAGCTTGTTTTTTCTTTAATAACTTTTACAGTCTTCACCACACTCAGATGTGGCATGGCCACATGTGTCCTCATTTTCATCTGTGAAATGTTGTAGGTTATAGGCCTGGGTATATCCCTAACATAAATCAGTGAGATTGTGATTAGGGATCTGGTTTTCAGAGCAAAGGCCATGCAAGTGGTGCACCTTCCCTATCCAAGATGCCTGCTACTTGAGGACTCTCATACCCTCCCATCCTAAAATGCTTTTCTCACAGCTGAGCCAACATTCAATAGCAGAGCTCAGTTGTGCAGAAAATCACTTGGGGAATAGGGGAGATAAAGCATGGGTGGTGGGTGGGGGAAGGCATTTTTCTCTAAAATCCTTATCTCCCCATTGTCTGTTTTGTACTCAGGAGCATATCTGAGTTGTCAGTATAAAGATCTGGTGCTGTAATGTTCACCTTGGTCCTGGCTCAATATAATGATTCCTTCCTTCCCTCACTACTCAGATTAGTACTAAAAGTCATAAGGGGGGGGCACCTGTCTGTAGCTGTTTGCAGTTGCAAGCAAGAGCATGGATGTACCCCCTGCCCTGCACCTGGTTCCAGAAAAACAGAGCATTGCGCTGCTGCCGGTGTGTAAGTCCTTGGGGAAGTATTGCATTAAATATACATTATGCTTTGAGCAATTTGGATCTACCATGGATGGTGGGGTTTGCTTTTTTTTTTTTTTTTTTTGGATTATATAGAAAGGCCATTAGTGCTCTGCCTGCACAGCAGAGAGAGGGGAGAGACTGGAAAGAGGCTGGAAGTAGCATTCTTCCTGGTGATGATTCAACAGCCTTGTGATCCCACGTGTGTTTCTAGAAAAAGATCATGGCTGATTAACCAATCTAGCTGGTACCATCTGGGGCTGGGGCTTTGCTGAATGTCTCGATTCCTTCTGCCTGCTTGGCTGAGAGAGCTGCCTGAATAATCTGCCAGCCACCTGCCCCCCTCTGATTTTATTCCCCATAACTTCCTAGGTTTCATTTCCACCAAAGGCATGTATCACCAATACAAAAACCTTAAGGGAGCTGGGTTACTGCTTTCCTTTGCTGAAATCAAAACAGTGGGAAGTTGGGGGTTTGTTTTAGACATGGGTGATTTTAAACAATTTTTTAAAAGCTTGAATTTTTGAATTTCAATTAATGTGACTTTTTTTGAGTGGGGAAAAGTGATAGCATGTGAATAAAGTTGCCAGCTGACTGTGCTTCCTCTAGGCAACAGGACACTGTAGTCTCAGTTCACAAAATGTTGTTGTTGTTGTTGTTGGTTGTGTGCCTTCAAGTAATTTCTGACGGATGGTAACCCTAAGGTGAATCTGAGATTTTCTTGGCAAGATTGTTTCAGAGTAAAGTTGCCTTTGCCTTCCTCTGAGGCTGAGAGAGTGTGAGTTGCCCAGAGTCACCTAATGGGTTTCCATGGCTGAGAAGGGATTCAAACCCTTGCCTCCAGAGTCATAGTCCAACGCTCAAACCACTATACCACGCTGGCTAAAAGCTGGCAAATTATTACTTGGTTTTCTTCTTCAGTTTCTTCCACAGGGTATACTTCCATGATCTGTTCCAGCCGGACATGTGCATGTTTTTAACTATTAGATTTATCTAAGGAGTTTATCACACGGGGAGCCTGTGCAGAAACGCTGCTTTAAATTGGGGGGAAAACGCAAAAGTGGAAGCAATTCATCAACAGAATTTCCCCTTGTGATAAACTCCAGCACAGTTAAAAGGAAGTTAATCCGAACGGAAATTAGACAAAAACTGCTTCTTTTTACTTTCAGGATCTTCCGAAAGTAAAAAGAAGCAGTTTTTGTCTAATTTCCGTTCAGATTAACCTCCTTTTAACAGCGACGTCGTCTGAAAAAACACTCGCTTTTGCGGGTTTTGTTTAATTTAAAGCCCCGTTTCTGCATGGGATTTCCCCCATGTGATAAACTCCTACGAAAGCTGAGTGGGGTACTGGAATTGCATTCACTGCTGTCGTTTTGTGATGTCACATCATATATCTAGATCAGCCCTTCCCAGCCCAGTACAGATGTATCAGACTGCAATGCCCATCATTCCCAGCCACTATGGCTTTATCTTTAAATGGGTTTACTACTAGTTACCTGTCTCAAAGGCACCCTGTGAACGCTAGTTCTGTGAGCAGAATTAGGCATATTCAGTTGTAAATTATCGGCAGCGTTACCTTGTGAAAGTTATACTTTATCAAAGCCATGAAAATGAAACTGCTATAAATTCAATACAACTTTGTAGTGCAAATTAGCCCCTCTATCCGTTTTTTAAAACTGTCACTCTATGTCAGAATTATCATTATATTGGGGGAGAAAATACCCCTCAGGTCAGCTTTGTTGGAGATACCGTGTGTAAGCCTGCAATTCTAGGCTGCATTAATAGCAATATAGTGTCCAGATCAAGGGAAGAAGTAATACCTCTTTATTCTGCTTTGTTCAGACTTCACCTGGAATACTTCAGCACCACTATTCAAGGACAAGCCTGAACATGTCCAGAGGAGAGCAACCAAGATGGTAAAAGATCTAATACCAGGTTCTAAGAAGTCCAGTTAAAGGAATTAGCCACGGTTATCCTAAAAGGTAACATGACCACTGTCTTTAAATATCTACAAGGTTGTCATGCAATGAACTTATTTTTTGCTCTTCTGGAGAACAAAATATGAAGCAACTGGTTCAAGTGACAAGAGAAGGGATTCTGACTAAACATTAGGGGAAACTTCCTTTTATTATGAACTGTTCAACAAAGAAATAGCCTTGGAAAGTGTTAGGTTTTCCTTTCTTCAAAGTTTTTAAACAGATTGAGAGGCCACCATTCAGGGGTGCTTATAGCAGCGGATTCCTTCATGTCAGGAGTTGGAGCAGATGGCATTTGTGGTACCTTTCAGCTCTATGATCTGTGTATGTTTTTGCTGTCACCTTACATTTGACTTATAAGACTATTTTTAGTTTACAGGAACCTATAGTTCAGGATAAGGGCCTAAATATCCTAAAAGCATCAGATCCTCTCTGATCTTGGAAGCTAAGCAGGGTCAGATCTGTGGAGTACTTGGATAGGACACTGCCAGTGAATATTGGGTGCTGTAGGTATATTTCAGAGGAAGGAACTAGCAAAACCACCTCTGAGGATTCATTGCCTAGGAAAATCCTATGAAATTCATGGAGTCACCACACATCAACAGGCAACTTGAAGGAACATACACAAACACATACAGTTCAGGAGCAGGCCACTGAGAGACTGACTGTTCCCTTACAGACCACCCCACTGCATCTTTACATTCTCATGTGTGGAGGCTCTGCTTACTGTTTTTGGCCTACTGGGACTCACTTGTGGAGTGATGGAGGGTCTTGTTTCTTGTAATGGCTACCATATTGAATATTCTTCACATTGAAATTAGGCTCTCGCTGTTAGATGTTTCCACCATCAGCAAAAGGCCTTTCTGTTTATACAAGCATTTTCCTGATTATTTCTCTGTTTGTTAATATGATCAGTTGCCTCTGGTTTAAGGACCAGTTTTGATGCTCTCAGATGATGTAGTCCTCCCGTTCCTTAATCAGATTGGTTTTAAGACCTATGCTAGTAAGTTTAGCCTCTTTTGTGCTCAGGAAATCTTTCAATCAATTACTCTAAAACCAAGGCCATGATGTTTGGCAAAAAACAAAGGGCCTTATGAAGCAAGTAAATTGCTGTTGCATCTGGATAATAGTGCCTTCGGTGCATACTGCATGATGTCATTGCTATTCTGTTGTTGTCCAGTGGGAGATTTTTTTAAATGAAAATAATCATTATTGACTTCCTTTTCTGCTTCTGTCACTCCATGATTTCTTGTGCAAAAATTTCATTGTGATATTATGCCAGTTTTGAGTGGCCAGTGAGTAGTCAATGGCCATGTGCTTTTGGTGGGAGATCCAGTCATTTCTGGTGTCTCTGTTACTACTACAGTACAACACCATGGTGTGGTAACACCTCATTCTCCCTCTCCTTTCCTCTCTCTCTCTCTCTGTCACACACACACACACACACACATGCTGCTATAGGATCCAGGTGCACAGGATCAGGGTAGAAGAGGTAGGGCAGGAGATCTTGGCTTTGACTTTCTGCTTGTCCCCTTTTGTGTAAGGATAATGACACAAAAAAGGGGATGGGTGGTAGAATGCAGTTTTATGAATTGGTGCAGGATGTGTGTTGTTTACCGTATGCTTTTCCTCTTTCCTTCCACAACACCATGAGTGCATAGGGTTGCCATACTGTTAATGCAGAAGGACAATTGAGTACATATGCTGAAGGCTGCCAGCTAGGAAACAGATGCCACTGCCAAGACTGGAAAGTCACTCACGACTTCTGGGTTCTTCTGAAGACGCTTTTTAATCTTAGTTGCAGCAAAGTATTTACAAGCACAATACAGCAATATTTACACCAATTGACATAATGCTCTGCCATCAACTGACATCCACACCACCACATGTTACACTGGAGCATTTCTCCTTATAGACACAAAAACAGCTAAGATTCTGATCCAACCCCCAGCTAGTGTTTCATCAGTTTCCTGTCATGTGTTCACAGTGAAAGTGCAGTTTGGACCTTCTATGATTCATCTCCATGCTCAGGTTGCATCAGCTTCCTCTGAGTCAGCATTTCCTCTTTAACCCATTGCATGCACTTGAGACATTTTACACAGCCTGGACAAAAATATACTGACAATCCCCTCCAAAATGTCTTAGGGTCTATACAGACTGCCAGAAATAATCCAGTTTGAGAACACTTTAACTGTCTTGGCTCAGTGCTAAAGAATCATGGGAACTGTAGTTTATTGTGGCACCAGAGCTCTCTGACAGAGAAGGCTCAATGTCTCAAAAAAAAACCCTACAATTCCCATGATTCCCTAGCACTGATCCAGGACAGTTAAAGTGGTCTCAAAATGGATTATTTCTGGCAGTCTGTACAGGCCCTTAGTTGCCATGCATGATAAACAAACTACATCAGGATACATTTTTACTCATACAGTCCCAAGTGTTTTCACTGAGTACAATTCTTTATCCCAAGGCCCAGCCTACCTGTTAGTCTCTTGTGACTTTGTGAATGCCTTTGCCTTAGTGAATAAATCTACAATGTTTTCCTCAAAAAACAGTATTGCAGTTTTAGGATTCCACCCTGTATTGACTCACACACATTCTGGTACCTTACCCCAATGTATTTCATCCTGCTTATCAGATTTTCTACTTCTGCTATTGTGATGCAGGCTTGTGAGTATTTATTGATCACTGTTGGTGTATGGCATGGTTCACCAAGATCCTCCAATAGCTGCCTGACCTACTGAACTTCGCTAGCCATTTCTGAAAGTGCAGCGAATTCATCTTCTGTGGTACTTAACGCTACAAAACTTTGCTTTCTGGACCTCCACACAACAGGACTGTCAGCAAATCTGATTGCTAGACCAGAAACTGACTTTTTATCTGCTACCTAAGATGCAACAGAGCTGTCTGCATAGCACTCTAGCTGAGACATGCCTCCAGTCATCACCAGACATCTGATCCTTGTTCCCTTGAGATATTGCACCACATGATTCAAAACAGTCCAATCCACTACTCTGGGTTTTGAGGTTCTCCTGCTCAACAACCTCACTGCAAAACTAATGTCAGGCCTAATGTTATTTGCAATGTACAAAAGGCTACCAATCACTGAATGGAACAATTCAGGATGTGCAAACATTTTATCAGACTCTAAACTGACAAATTCAGGTGTCATGGGACTTCTGACTACCTTAATCCACATTTTTCCACAATCCTGACAATCTTCTTTTTCTGACACAACAGAATCTCCTCATCCTGGGTTCTCTCCACTTTGATTCCAAATAATTCTTCAAATTATCCAAATCCTTCAATTTGAATTTTCTTGTTAATTCCTCCTGTACATGCTTCACTTCATCCAAACTACTTGCAGCCACACAAAGATCATCAACATAGATCACTAGGATGACACTACCCTTGGTATACACATACACATCAGCCACACTGCGTTGGTATGCATGTTTGACAAGCTCATCATGAATGCATCTGTTCCAGCACCTAGCACATTGCTTCAATCCATACAGGGCCTTCTTCAACCTATATACTTTGTTGTTACCAGCACAGTCATACTCGGGAGCTTGTTCCATGAACACAGTCTCCTCCAAACTTGCATTCAGGTATGCTGTCTCAAAATCAAAGTGTCTTATCTCCAGATTCCTTTTTGCTGTTCCTGCCAACACCTGTAACTTTGCTGTTACTTAAACTGTCAGGTTTGGCTGTGGAGAAAAAGCCCTATCATAACTCTTATACCCTTCTTGTGAAAAAATGTTTTGCAACAAGTCTGGCTTTGTACTTTGAGTACCATCTGGCATGTTCTTTTTCCTGTACATCCACTTGCAGCCAACTACCTTGTGATAAACTGACCTTTCTACTTCAAACACTTCCCTTAGCACCAGTGATTCATATTCAGAGTCCA